CCGGCAGCAGCGTTTCAATCTCCTCCGGATTTTGAGCAAAAAAGCAACAAATCCCTGAATTAAAATCAAGGTAAAAGAAATTCCTGCCTACTTTCTTCCTCTTCCCGCCCCCCGCCCCCGGTATCCAGATCCTACAGATCCAAATCCTGCCTTTACTTCCAGCTCCGTAATTCCCCGGGCTCAGGGTTTGAATCAAGGACAGGACCAGACCCCGGAGAGTCGCTTCGCCTTTTCCTTGGGCTGAGCGGCCAAACGGAGGGCTGGTGGCCCAAAGTTCCGTGAAATGAGGTATAATGGTAAGATGGAAGCTATGTTATAGAACCATAGAATGGTTTGGGTTGGAAGGGACCTCAAAGATCATCTAGTTCCAACCCCCCTGCCATGGGCAGGGACACCCTCCACTACACCAGGTTGCCCAAAGCCTCATCCAACCTGGCCTTGAACACTTCCAGGGATGGGGCATCCACAACTTCTCTGGGCAACCTGTTCCAGTGCCTCACCACCCTCTGAGTGAAAAATTTCTTCCTGAAAAATTTCTTCCTTTCTTCCAGAGCACCTTACCTGAGCGGGCCATCAACCTCGGGCGGGCATTGCCGTTCCTGCGGAGCCGCCCCCGCGGCACACCGGCGCTCGGACCTGGCTGCAAGTTGCGCTGCAGCCGCCGCCGGGCTGACCTAAAGGAAGTCGGTGCCCGGTGCGCTGAGCGCTACCGGAGGAAGGGTGAAGCGAAACGGAGACAAAGAGCGGAGGGAGGGCGGGGGAGATGCTCGCGGCTCGGACTGCCGGGAGGGATCTTCACGCCACCACTTAGGTGTTAGCGGAAGCCCCGGGAGGCAGAGGAAAAGAATTTCTCCCTAATGTGCCTTTCTTATGCACCACTATGTTGATGGGAAGCTGGAAGGGTCCCCAGCTCGCTCTGCCTTCTGGGAATTGTAGTTCTGCCCAGCAGCTCTGGTTCCCCCGTCCTGCCCTCTCCGCCCCGGCAGCCAGAGGGTCAGGATCAGGCTGTATCTCTCCTGCCCCAGCCCAGAGCGTTTGCTTTTTGCAGTTGCGGGAAGGAAAACACGCTGCGGTGCTGCGAGCATCCTTCTTCCCTCCCCGGCTGTTTGCCTGGGACTCGCTCCAGGAAGCACCAGGGGAGGAAAGATGCATTTCGGGGAGTGTTTCTGTGTCCCTAGCAGCCTGCGATCCCCTGGGCGGGGGATCGGGGGAGGAACCGAAACTGGTGCCTCAATAACACCAAAGGATCCCTTGTGTGCAGATTTGATAAGGGGGGAGACGCTGGGACATATGGACTGGATTTAGCAGAGTGACGACCAGCAGCTGGGAGAGGCTGAGCCTCAGTAGGACCTCAGCACCCAGATCTGGATCTGCCTTGTGCAATGAGGCTTAAAGGTTCAGTAGGAGTCCCTAGCCCAGGATGCTTCTCTGGGAGGGGTTCAGGAGCACGTGCGTGATGAAAAGCTGCTTCAGCGTGACTTCTCCATGGGGCAGGTTTTAGGGGCTGTCCCATGTCTCTGGGGTTGGACAATAATACTCAGTCCTGCATAAGCCAGCACCTCCAAGCCTGTCCTAAATATGACACAAGGCTGCAAACAAGCTATTCTCCTCCTCTTTGATTCAGGGAAACTGAGGCAGGAGATGATAACGTGCCTGGCTCAGATTACATAACGAATTTCAAGGTTACAGGGTCCCTGGAGTTCAGATCTGATCTACTCACTGCATGTGCTTTGGTTAAAGTCTGCTAATGTATTTCCTACCCCCACATAAACCAGTAGTATGAGGCAGCAGCACCACTATGGAAGTGCTCCTCCATGCCAGCTTGTTTCCCAGTCCAGTGAAGGAAGAAGTCACACAAATCTAACCATCTTTATACCAGTACATGCACAGCAGAAGATGTACAAGCCTCCTTCAGTTTGTCCTACTGAATGTCAATGATGAAAATGCCACGGCAGGTCCCAGACCATGATGGTAGGCCACAGTAGACATCAGGTATCTGAAATGAGATTCATCATGTGCAGGACTGCTTCGGCAACATGTCCCCCTTTTCCATCTTCCCCATTTCTATATCTTCCCACAAATCCTGCCTTTCCCTGGGACCCAGCTCTTTGGATGGTGCCAGTCA